CCGCCATACAGTCCGGACTTGGCACCAAGCGATTATCATCTTTTTCTTGCATTGCAAAATTTCTTTAATGATAAAAAATTGGAATCTAGGGAGGATTGTGAAAATCGACTACTAGAGTTTTTTGCAAATAGAGACCAGGACTTCTATGAGAAAGGCATTTTGAAGTTACCTTTAAAATGGCAACAAATCATACAACAAAACGGTGCATATTTGACCCAAATCGGACAATCGCAAGGATGTTAAATAAAGTCCTGAAGTTCATATAAAAATAATGGATTTCTTTTTCCCCTAACTAATATACGATGGTATTCAAAACATAGACTCACGTGATGCAAATTCGGTACGATTGATTTCTTTGTCAATTTACTATCATGAAACAATTTTCGCCATGAAATATTGAAAATTAGATCCTTTTAGCACATAACTCTTCAGTTTTTAGAGGAGCGTTTATATGAGACGAGATTCAAAATATTGCCCCAGCTGAACCAAATTTTTCATACCCATTTAGTATGTCGAAATACTACTACTCAGCGATTTCTGTGGGAAAATTTTGAAAATTAAAATTTTTTTCGGTATAACGATTTTATAAAACAAGGCCTTACCTAACGAGTGGTTAATAAAGTTGATCAATTCGAATCATATCATCAAAATATTCCAAAAATTGTGACTTGTAGGTTGAACGCAAATATACATGGACAGAGTTACATAGACAGACAAGATTAGGTGGAAAAAAGGTACGGTATTTTAAGTCTTTCTAAGTGTTACATACGTCTACACGAACTTAATATACCGTATATCACAAGCGGTGTTGGATTTATCTATAGAGCTTTTTAGAATTTCAGTACATAACTCGCTTTGTTATACTATTTTGCAAAGTACATATATTCTTGACCAGTATCAAATTCTTGCATGCCCGTCCGCCTAATGTCTACTGTAAACATTCTCTTGGCCGCAATAATGAAGCTATCGACTTCAAATTTGGCAGAAACACTGGAAGTTCTTGCACGCACGTTGGTATAGGATAAGGTCAAAATCGGTCGAAGCACACGCCTACAGCACCAGGTAAACTGAGATCACCTCTGTTTTTCAAAAGTAATGAAAATTGGTTTTTTGTTCACTGCTATCCTATTTTTCAGACGATAAGACGCACTTCAAATTGTTAGCATAACTCGTAGTAGCATTATTCAGTTCATCTGCATTTTCGGTACTATTATATATTATTATTAATTATATATTAATTATTAATATATTAGAGACGATTTATTGAAAAAATATTTTAATGTTAATTTCGGACCATAAGACGCACCGAAAATTTGAGCCTATTTTTCTACGTCTTATAGTATGGTTATAAACTATAGCATATAAATCTCCAAAAATTGAAGGCATATTCTAAGAGAGATGCTGTAGCCGTTGGGCAAAAATGGGAAAAATTTACCACGTGTAGTCAAAATTGTAGTGTAGCAAAATTTAATTTTTTTTTAATACCCTTTTCAGGTGCAGAAACAAGTTTCGAAAACCCCATAAATTATATAAATTCTTGGCCAGTTTTAAAATGGACATGTATCTACACATGTCCGCCTGTTCGTCTGTCCATTTGTCTTTCTGCGCAGCTGTATAGTATTTGTGGTAAACATTCTCCCGTTAGTGAAAGTGAAGATATCGACTGCAAATTTGTAAAAGAATTTGGATTTGATTTCGACTTGTCCAAGAACACGCCTACAACGCCAACACGTCTGTTTGGCAACATCTGTGCTTGTCTTTGTTTACCACGTTCTATGTTTATTACTCAGAAAGAACCAGAAATACACCATATAAATTTCCACTTTTATTCTGAAAATAAAAAAAAATCAGCTGTGCCCCGCCAATATTGTAAAGTACGAACATGTGGTTCTTTTCCTTGTTTTGGATCACGGTAATGGGTATAAAAGATTCGGCCACGACCGAATATAATCTTCTTACTTGTTTTTCCTTATTTTTCTTCATATGGTTGTCATATTATAGTTCAGTATAAGAGCAATTTCTAAGAGTAAATAGAATTCGGCTGTTATCCTATTTTCGCTGGATTTCCTCTATAAAGAAATAAATAAATAATACTAGCCTAATGAACGAATAAAGGAACTCTTGCTTTTACAAAAAAAATCTCGGAGTTGACACATAGATGTTCTACAAAAAATCGATATTGTTTTTAGATGTTTAGACTCAAGCCTCGAATAACGTCTTTGAAAAGTTAATTTAATTTTAAACTGAGCTGTTTACAAGCAGCAGTCGTTTTATTAGGTTAATTTTGTTATTTTTGAAATAGGTAACGTTGCGTTTGTTGTTCCTTTAGATGGAAAGGAATACTGCTCAAACTCAGCATTGGCTTGAAAACTGATGTAACAACTCTTCTTCAACAATTATCAGTGCTTTGTCGATTTTAAACGGGATCATACGGACACGGTTGATGTTGAACACAATGGCCATCCAAAAAAGATGATCAAAATACCTCGATAATCGAAAAACATATTTGCAACAGGTAGCTGTCATCCTAGATAGCAAGAAACAATCTGTTCACAATTTCGCATGAAAAGTTGTTTTCAAAACGCACGCCGACGCCGATTGACTACAATGTGTTTACAAATTTAAAACCAGGAAAAAAGATTTAAATTAAAAGATGAATTTATTATGGACATTAATGTGTATTTTCAGGGTCTTAACGAATCGTTATACAAAAAGGCGTCGAAGTGCTACGGAAACGTTGAATTAAAACACACGGCTATATATCTTTAAAGTTAATAGAAAAGGGTAATAATTGTTTAACTTGCCTCTTAAGAGTATAACATTTTTTATGTGAGAAATTCCTGTGCTAATTATTGCCCGATCCTCAAAGAAAAATTGATGCTGAGTTTTTGGGCTTTTCTCAGTGTGAATCGCCATTTTGTTATTAATATTTCCAAGTATACAATGAGAATGTCTGGTTTGGCGTGGTTTCATTTTAATATTTTCTTTCAGAGAAAAACTTAATTCGCCAAATGTTCAGATACAGCTCATGACAAATAATCTTGCGCAACGCGTTCTCATTGTTGCATTTTAAAAATATCCAAACAATCATTCGCCAAAACCGAGCTATAAAGAATATCTTTTACTTATATGAAAAATTATACGAAAAATTTCCCTAAAAGAAAAATCCATAAATGAACCACTAAAGCATCGAGTTGTTAAACATTTGTTCAAGCTATACATATCTTTGGATATAATGAACTTTGAAGTGTTGGGTGCTCAATGCTTCGCCGCAATTCGAGTACATTATCCTTGAATTTGACTATTGTTAATAATCTTGCTAAGAACTCTTTCAAATATGTTATATATTATGTTTTCTGCAATAGCCCCTCCGCGTTTTTTTCAATTGCATACCGACTAGGCATAATAAAATTGTAAAGCAGTTAAACAAATTCTTTATTAGGATAAGATTTTGAATCGTTGCATCCGTGGAATGAGTGGAAAATAAATTGAACCTATCTGTCTAAAGACAAAAAATTGGAATTTACGACCGATCGATTATCTCGATTTGTTTCTTTTTAACTTTAGAGAAATAATTGCTCGGTGAGTAATAATTAAAAGATAAAGCCAGTCATCCTTTTGCATACACCAAAAGTTACTGCTAGTAAAAATTGAAGGTTTTTTTTGCAAATTTAGTTAATATCCTCTACAAAAACGCGTAAAAATATTATATTGGGTCGTGACTAAATCTTACCCATCACCTCGATCGTACGAAAAAAGAGGAAAAGAACTAATTTTTCATATCCTATAATGTTGGTTAAGCGCTGAGCGTTGGGTTTTTCCAAAATTAAAAGTCGAAATTCATCTTTTGCATATGCTGTAGTTTATGAGTAACAACCAAATACAAGTAGAGCAAAAGTGTTAACAGTGTCCGCTATACAGAGGTTTGAGCGTTGTAGGCGTGTTTGAAAATTTCTTATGCAAGTTTATTGGCGATATCTCCATTTTTGAGAACGGGAGAATGTTTACCACAGATATCACACAGCTGCATGGACAATTGTACGAACGGACATGTATAAGCGCATTCCGAATTCGAAATTGGCCAAGAATTTATATACTTTATATGGGTTTTGAAGATTACGACTGCGCATTATGAAGGTTTTGAAAAAAAAAAATTAAATTTTGACACACTACGTAAATAAGTACGTATCGCTCATAAACTATACCTTCAACTTTTGTAGATTTACCTGCTGCAGCTGATAAGTAATGAGTAAAAAATTACTTTTGTAGTCCTTTTGAAAAACATAGTTGTCGCTTTTTGTATATTACTGTAGACGTCTCGATTTAATCGATTTGGCCCATATTCAATACCAATCTGCGTATAAGAATTTCCAATGTTTCTGCCAGATTTTAAGTCGATAGCTTCATTTTTGCGGCCAGGAGAATGTTCACAGCAGACATTGCGCAGACGGACATGTTAAATCGATTTAAAATTTGATACTGATCAGGAATATATAAACTTTGTAGAGTCTCTAAAACTTTTTTCTGGCCGTTACAATAGCTTTGACAACATGAATATACCCCTATTTCTTCGGAAATGGTTTTATAAAAATGATACGTATATTAAATAACAAACTTAAGCACGATCATCGCCGTCGCTTCTATATATAAAAATTCTGTACGCGTAGAGGTTAAGTTTCTTTTCAAGTTTTCGCTGTTCACAACGGAAACCAAAAACAAACAAAATATAAACGCATTCACTGAAATTTTCCAATTAAATCAATTTGCCCAAAAGTGTTTCTCTTTTTAAAAATAACGGGCAATTTTTTCGTCACTTTTGTCGTTAATAATTTTTGTACGAGTTACATTTGACCGATTATTAAGACCAGCGGATACGTCGATTTAATGTCGATTGGATATCAAGCAAAGAGAACTGTTCAATTTTTTTTTAATAATACTAATTTCATTTTGGATCATATTATATTATAGAATATTCGGTGTATAACAAGCTAGAAAATTACCGGCTCTGGTTGTTCAGGAGCTTGTGGGAGAGCATCTGCCATTGTCACGACATATGCACATAATAACACTAGCGCGACGAACTTCCAAAATAAATTAATTGACATTCTTGAAAATTATGTGCACCCACGTTAATAATAACAACAAAAACGCGACTCTGATGTTACTACAACAGCGGATAACAATAGAAAGGTTTTATATATATATATATATATATATATATATATTGGAGCCAAACACTTCTTGTATTTAACTGAAAGCAATTGTTTGCGCACGTAGTCTTTTATATGGAATTGTGGTGTCAGCCTCTTCTCCAGTTCGTTAAGCTAAGATGTTAGCGGTGATGCTTGAGTCTCTGCTTAGTAAAATGTATCGCAGCTAACTTTATACATAGGTCAAAGGTATACTAAGCGCAATATGCCCGACAAACTGAAGCCTTAACATTTTCTTTCGAAAATTAACGTAAGGTTGTGTGTTGCTGGTGTTTGTCTTACTGCTGCTGCCGCCGTTGCTGCTGCTTCTGCTACTGCTGCTGTTGTTTGTTGTTATTATTATCGTGTGCTTGCTTATCTCAGAAAAATGTGCAACAAATCTTCGAAAAAAAACTTTTGAAAAGAATTGAAAATAAAAAAAGCAGTCACATTATTGTGCAGCAATCACATTTACTGCTGCTAATAATCGTCTTTGCTTTTAGTTGTTGTATTGATCTAAATCATTGTAACAGAAGTATAGAAGAAGGAGGGCTAGGTCGTTGATTAAATTGTGTATATATATATTTTTCATTGACTTGTGGGAATTCTTTAGTATAAAATTCTTAACTACATCAAATCCTACACAAACTACACTAACAAAGCACCTAAACTAGTATGACCGATCTAATTAATACGTGAAATATTTATATTTCTGTTTTCTTTCTTACACCTACCGTAGAATATGTAATCAATTTCCCAATTGCTTATAATGCAAAGAAATGAGCATTTAAAGCGTGTTAAAATATAAATTCTTAAGTGGCCAAGTCAATGTAAATTGACATTGCAATTGGCAGTTTTCGTGTTTGGTGGTATTTTTACGTGCTCTTCAGTTTTCTGTGAAAAACTTTTTTTTTTTTTATTAATTAATATTCCACTGCTTTTAACTGCTTCATCGTGTTTTGAATGGTACGATTGGCGCTACTGTGTACAATTCGCTACGTGTTCAATTCCTTTACTTCGAATTTGGTATTTTTGCAATAATTGTACAATCGTGCGCTCTCGATAGTTACCTGACAGACCACTGTGTGAAGTTATCGCCATTATTAACAAATCCTAAGTGCGTAAGTGTCATTAATAGGGCAGCGGATGCTGCAAAGACGGTGCGTTGGTCCTGCCCAGATTGTAGAAACAAACATATCGACTTCTACAGGTTGTTTGCACAAACGAAACTGAGTTTTTTGGAGGCCAAGAAGTTTTCAGAGGAGGTGATGGCCAAATTTTAGCAGTGCCATGAAATGTTTGAGGCTTGTGAGTTTCCGGACACTGCGATTTCACCTCGAACAGCCAGAAAATTTACAACTCGCATTGTGGCGTGCGGACCGTCCCCTACGGGACCTGTTCAGATTGACATCCCCAACTTGGAATCTGGTCTCGTCCCGGTTGAAGGGTCTGCACGCGTGCCACCTATTGACCTGTTATCGGTCGACTTAGTTAATTTAGCGTCGCTTAATCCAGCCGTAGGTGATGAGGGTCGGGTTTTGTCTTTTTGTGATTTTGCCCTGTGCAAGGATAAGAAGTGAATGGAAACGTTTAGTCCCCCGAGGGTTAGCTAAGCTGACGCAGTGAAGAACTTAACATTAACTATCGCTGCAAGTTTTGGCTTACCGGGGCCCTCCTCAACCAGTGAGGCACCCTTAGTTGAGCCGAATGGTTCACACGATGCGGCTATTGCCTCTGTAACATTGTTTGGGGCCAATGAGCAGAGGAAACAACAGATAATGGACTGTCTGTCTACCGTAGGGGTCTTAGCAAACACTTCCGAGGGAACCGCCGCTGAGTTGGTTGCCCATCAATTGAGGGTGGTACCGCTAAGAAAATCCATTTTTGTATCACGGTTATCGTCCTGAAACCCTAAGCAAACGATGGTGGAGTTCTTAAGAAATAAGCTCTCAGTAGAGGATGCGAGAAAATGTTGCGTTTTTAGGTTTAGCCCAGCACGTCAGAGTGATATTGCTTCCTCAAAAATTATTGCTCCGGCCGCCCTATTTGAACGCATAATGTGTGTGGCAAAGTTTTTGCCACAAGGAGCCAGGAAGAAGTCAGTTCGTTAGACAAAAAACTAATGGAGAGCTGACATATGCTGTATCAGAATGTCCGTCGTCTTAATATAAAACTACGTTATGCGCTTGTAAGTTCTGTTAATAATGATTATCTTGTGGTAGCATTTACAGAAAACTGGCTTAAGACAGGGATAAAGGGGAGATTTCGCTCGGAGATTGAGACCTTCAGCTGTGGCAGATTGCACAAAACTGTTAGGATAGTTGTAATTGCGGTTAAGCGTTGTTTAGCCTCATCTTTCCTTAGTCGTTCTACGTCTACAACCGTTGAGTTTGCGGGCGTTAAAATAAAACTGCATACTGGTAATGAATGTATTATATTGCGGTTTACTTAGAGCACTTGGCTTTGATCACAAATATTACTTCTTGCTTCAAACAATGTGATAAGTTAATAGTGCTAGGTGACCTTCATTAGCCCAATGTTTTGTGGGTTTTTAATGAAGACCTTGCATTTTATACCTCCTTTGCTTATCTACTAGTTTATAAAGAGTTTTTCGATGGTATCCATGGATTAGATTTAACAACATCTTAACAAAATCTTTATTGGGAATAATAAATTGCTTGTCTTAGTTTTTCACTGGGGTACCGATATATGGTATATATACGTATATCGAGACGAGCCCTTTGTTTGTTGTTGATAGGCATCATCTTTCGTGATTGCTGGCCCTAAAATGTGTAGCTGGCAATGAACTGTGTAACCAAATGATCAGCATTTATTTGCTAAAACGAATTACATTAAACGTAGGGACTTGCTTGGTGGTATTGACTGAGACTTACGCTCTGAAGATATTGATGATTCCATATTCTTTATTTACAGTCCGCTTTTTTCCGTGATTTCCGTGTTCGGTACAGTTTAAGGCTTGTCACACGTCAGAGTCTCCTTTTTCGAGACTCCAAGACTAAGCATTTACGGATGGTCCGTAATAAAAAAAGAAATTCCCTCGGAGAGGTTTGGTTAAAGATTATATGTTATATACTAAGGCTAGACGAAATTATAACTCCCTGAAAAAACTTGTGATTCTAATCCGGATGCAAACTTCTAAAAAATCCTACAGACTTCTTAAGTTCGTAAATTCTAAACAAAAATTAAAAGGATTTCCTTCCGTCGAAAGCTTTGGGGAGTTCGAATCATCCGATATGTCTGTAATAACCGACCTTTTTGCAGATTTTTTTGAGGAAGTCTATCAATGTTCCAATATTTCGTCTGATAATTATCCGTACTCAATAAGCACTTTTGATATTATTCCGTGTATGTCTTTCTCTGAAAAAGAAGTATTTACAGCAACGTTGAAACCTCATAATTATGCTGGTCCTGATGGCGTTCCGTCTGCTATTCTCCAACAATGCGCTGATTTACCCCCCTTACACATATTTTTAATGTTTGTTTGAAAAAAGGTTACTTTCCATTGCTTTGGAAGACTAGTTTTATTTCACCTCTCTGCAAAAGTGGTTCTCGGAAACTTATTGAGAATTATAGGGGGATTGCCAAACTTAGTGCACTGCTCAAACTATTTAAATCACTAGCAGCAAAAGGGCATACTCCGGTTTTGGGAGCAATTAGATCACACTGTCAGCACAGTTTTTCAAAAAGAAGATCAACGGCTGCTAATCTTTTAGAGTTTTGTAATCGAATTTACAAAGCATTTTTCAAACTGATGTTATTTTCATGGAATTTTCCAAAGCTTTCAACTGAATTTTTCTAACAGTATGATTGCCTGCTTCAGCAACTATCTCTCTGGTCGCAAACAACGGGTGGTGTTAAATTCTTGTCAATCCAGAGTAATCGACGTCACTTCTGGTGTTCCTCATGGTACTCATCTTGGCCCGCTTTTATTTATTTTATATATGAATGACTTTTTGGAGTGCACTCAACACTCCGATGTTTTAGAATTCGTAGACGACGTTAAACTGTCCCTCTCCTATCTATAACCGAGGTGACTGGGCTTTCTCTTTGGAAGCAGAAGAGGTCTAATCGGAAGAGGCTCTCTTTTCTAATGAAAAGGGAAATTTCTTTCCCCATTTGGTTCTCTTTGATGGAGGTCATGTAGTGATTGATGGCCAGCGACATCAAGAGGGCTGGAGAATAGTTGGGTGTGTGTGCTGCGCGATGACAACTCTGGAAACATTTATTTCCTTGAGAGAGGGTAGTGATTGGATCGGCCTACCGGGACATGTGGATAGTCCAAAGGCAAATGCGGCTGCGGCCGCGTACAGTATGAGAGTACCCGAAGCTGTATAGTTCGGTATAAGTGCTTGCTTGAACGATAAACCGAGAAGTTAAAGTGTGTCCACTGGGGTCATGTTGTCTAAAAGTCAGAACGCCGGACGAATGCCTTTTTGCCTGACTGGTGCCAGGTGCGAACGTTAAACCCGACATAGGTGGCTGTCCCTCTCCTTTGACTCAATATCTGGTACTAAACTTCTTCAGTCTGATCTTGAGAACCTATGCTCATGGTGTGCAACCAGTGGTATGGTGTTCAATTCAAACAAATGTAAGGAAATGTCTTTCACATGTCTTATTACCGTATCGACAATCACATCATGGAATTACAAAACCGGAAGAGTTGTTTTTGATTCAAAAATCAAGTTTGACAGTTATATTTAATTGTCAATTAATAAAGCTAGATTCCTTTTAGGGTTTAAAAAAAGACGGTCTGAAGGACTTAAAGACACATACGTGACGAAGTGCCTGTATACTTCTTTAGTTAGACCAGCTCTTGAATACTCGTCGGTAGTTTGGTTTTCTAATTATAGATGTCATATTGATCTCTTGGAACCTATTCAAAGAGACTACTTGATGTTTGCTTTGCGAGATTTGGGACGGGATCTTGCTCTGTCTCTTCCACCGTATAACAATGGATTGAAGCCCATTGATTTATCTACTCTTTAAAAAAGGCATGACATGTTCGGGGTAACTTTCCTCT